AAGAGTGGGGTAGGTTAGAACCTTGGGTCCCTAACTCTGTGAACACTTCCCTTTCCTACACAATGGTGAATGACAGGATATAGTGTGGGGAGCTGGTGGCCCTATGAGACAACTGGGAACGAGCCATCCTGTGGGTTACAGGTCAGTTACTGTTAAGTATGAAATGATTCCCACCATCCCTCTCTCCAAACCCCCTTAGAAATTTTTGTATGTTATTCCCAGTTAATCGCATATGATTTTATAAGGTTCCACACCAATAGCACCATCCCCGCAGGGAAGGAAACTGTAGACTGAGCCCCAAATTTCAGGAGAATTTACCCAAACTGGAGACCAGGAGAAGAGAGAGTGGCCATGTGCCCTGTAAGTCAGAAGTGGGGCCTTGAGAGAAGAAGGGATGGTGGCCCCCTATGGATCTCCTTTACCCTCCACCTGCTGCCCAAGCTGGCTCTGCCCAGGGAGTTCTCAGGGCACACTGCCCTAGTCACACTGCTGGAAATAGAAGTCTGTGATGGGGGCATCCCAGCCAGCATCCTCAGGGATCCTGGTGAGTCCAACAGGCTGATCTGCTTCATGTGCAGTGCAAAGGAACCAGCCCGGGTTGGTGGCTGACTCGAAGCTGGAAGTGAGCCCCTTGTCCCACCGATAAAAGGTGAAGTTCTTGGACTCCTTGCCACCCTGGTAGAGCTCCATGATGTTCACTGGCTGCCAGTAGAGAGAAGCAACGGGCAGGGTAGGTGAGGGACTAGAGCAGGAGTGGTGGGAGGGCTAGGCTGGGTTGGGACCTCCTCCCTGGGCCTCCTCAGGCAGGAGGCAGAGCTGTGATCAGCCAGAACCTGCACGAGTGTCCCAAAAGCACAGAGGTGGCAGGACTCCCACCCCAGTGCATTCAGCATCTGAGGCTTAGTGACCAGATGGCAAGAATGCCCCAGCAGGACTCACCTCCAATCTCAGGGTTGGCTCCTTCTCTGTCCCACACGACAGGCACTGGCTCCCTCCCTGGACACCCAGGATGACTGGAGAGAACTTGGCATCTATCCACCGATTGGGAACAACACTGATCTCCTCACCTACAAGAAGGAAGCCAGATGCAGGGACTTTGACTGCTCTTAGCCCCACCCACCCCAACCTGGACTCGGGAGCAGGGCCGTGTAAGACAATCTTCTTCTGGGGCAGGCAGAGGGAAGCCTCTTAGTGGCCGTCATGCAAGGAAGGCTGGTCTCCTGCTAGCTGGCCTAGGGTGACATCAAGATACAGAAGCCCATTGTACCATGTCCCATGTTACCTGCCTTGTTCTGGGTCAGCTCTAAACCCTAAGGTAGATTCAACAACTCCCTTTAGTCCCCTTGACTCTCAGTCTTCTTTTCCAAAACTTGTTTTGATAAGCCTCTGATCAGAGTTGCTGAGGTATTTTCCTACTCTTTGTGAGATCCCTGAAAGCAGAGATCTGTACATCTTCCTACCACCCACACGCCTATACGCATCACACAACACATTGCTCACATACACACACACACACAAACACATGCAAATACATATGCACAGACATGCACACACACATGCACCTATACATACATACATGTATACACAACCTGAAGAATCTGTCTGGCCCCAGTGCTCCATAAGTGTATCCCAGGTGGGCAAGTGTACATTGGTTGAGAAAGACCTGCATCAGTGCATAGAACAGAGTGGTAAGCACAAGACTAGATAGTGCCACTTGCTTTCTGGGTCCCACCACTCTGAGACAGCAGAGGAATCCCAGCATAGAGAGGCAGAAACCCATGCCCTATGGAGTAAAAAGCTAGTAGAAAGCCTGCTTTAGTTCTATCCTCATCTCTGCTCCCAGAGAAATGGAGCAGTTGACCTAAATCTACCTGCAAAGGCATGAAAAACTGTTTTAGAAATAATTCCCACCTCTGTCCAGAGGTTTCAGGTTTCATTGGAGCTGTTCTCAGTTTGCTGGAAAGTATATTATTTTACGTGCTTTTCCACAGAGCCTGGTTTTAGGAGGCCTTAGCTACTGGGTCAGGTCTGGGGGCTGTCAGCATGTGCTAATTTTCATGATGAGTCTAAGCCCTCTCCAGGCCCCCTCCGCTCAGAATGCAAAGATCCAGGAAAGTAAACTCATGTTTCACCACCAACCTTTAATGACCTTCCCTGCATGCAGCCCTCCTGCTAGAAGCTGGTTGTTGTGCAGATAAAGCACCTTCAATGCTGAGTCCTTCATTCTGAAACAGGAGGAAAGGAAGAAACTGTTAGGAGAGGGATGGGTACTCCAGCCTATGTCATCTTAAGAGAGAACCTCAATTTCAGGCATTTTTGTCCTTACTCCCACTTCCCACTGTACAAGAAGTAATGGGGCAAACTTCTCTCCTAATCCTACTGGTCTTATGCCAAAAAATGAGATGGCCCCCAACCTACCATCTGAGTCTGGGCTTGATCCTTCACACTACTTAATCTCTTCTACACCCTCCATGTACTCCACATGGTGTGCTAGAAGAAAAACTGGACCACAGCTCTTTCCAGCCCTGCCTCCATTGCTGCTGAGGCACAAAAGATAATTTTCTTGGCCTCTCTGGGCCATAGTCTCCCCATTGCTAGACCAAGGCAATGGGCTCAATAGTATCTAGGCCTTTTCTAAATTAGAATCTGATTCTTCAATTATTATTGAAGACCTCAAGGTACATTAACTTCCTCTGGGACATATATTCCCTACTAAATTGGGAATATTTTGCTTGTTCATTTTTGTTTTTACTTTAGGGCAGGTGGGCTCTCCAGAGAGACAGAGATAGAAAGGAAAAGTGAGAAACCATCTCCCTGGAGCGGTGGCTATGCCACAATCTCTTCTCTTCCATTCTTCTCTTGGGATTTTGAGCATGCATGCATACACACCTGGAAGTCACCAGGTCCAGGACTCGAACCACAGTCACTCATGTGAGAATCCAGCACCTTAACCACCACACCACCTGCTAGCTCAGGTAAGAGATTTTTTTTTTAATTTGAAATTATTTCATTTTACTTTTCCAAAGTTATTTCCCATCTATAGTCTTGATCAATTTTCTGGCATCCTGTGAGTTGAAAGGTGTCTCCTCAAGTGAGTTTCCCAGAGGGTAAAAGAGTATGGGGGAAAAGTATCCAAGTGTATAGACTGCTTCAATGTTTGACCAACAAAGATAAAAGGAAGTTGCATTACTTCAGAAAGCCTCTGTGTCACTAAGATGCTGAGCTTAACTGTGGTTCTCTTAGAAGGGGGCATAAACAGCAGTGTTTCCCACATTTACATGACTAGAGAGCTCAACTGTAAAGCATCTCATGGATTGGAGTCCCATAGAACACACTTTGGGAAGTACTAGACTTTACGTTCAGTGAGAGAAAGGACTATTGTCATCTCAGTCGTAAAGTCCAGAGCATAGCAGAGTACTAACATGCTGCAGGCAACACTCCCCTTCTAGTGATTCTGGAGAAGTTGCTCAGGGCTTCCGGCCCTTCATGAGACCCGAGGGAGTCAGTACAACATAGCAGTTCAAGGAAATCAGCTGCTCGCTCCTTAGTATTTTGTTTATATGTTTTGTTTGTTTTCCCTAAAGGGCAGCAAGGAGACAGTGGCACAGAGTGGCTGGACTGACGTGTTTGCTGTGGTAGGTGGCAGCAGCAGAGATCTGAGCCTGGTCTTCTGACTGCCATTCCTACTATGGATAGACTAAGCAGCTGCTCTAGACCAGATGGTTCACTGATTCAGCCCTTAGCATCAGGGAATCCTCACATGTGACCTGTCCCAGACTAAGGCAGTGAAATGTTGACCACAGCATCTAAGATGCCCTTCATCTCCGTGAGCCCCAGAACAGAGCAATTGTAGACCTTCCTTGCTTTCCTAGCCAGGCTGGAAGATAGGTCTACCCAGAATTCACTTCCTCCAGAGGACACCACCACAACAGATACTCACCGGAAACACAGCGCCCCACTCAGGACCATCTTGAGCTCCACGGAATGTAGACTCCCCTATCTTGAAACAAACTGGAAAATATTAGGTGGAATCAGAGGCTGAGCTGGCAAGGGTCTGGGTAGCAAGCAGCCTCCTGAGCCTCTCAGAATAAGAACAGCCTCCATGGAGCACAGATTCCTCTGTATGAGGTCAAGAAACCCCCAGTCCTGCCAACACCCAAAAGAATACCTCAGATGCTCTTTTCTCCCTGTAGGAGCCTGTGGTGTCTGCCGCCTCCTCTAAGGATGCCTCCACCTTTTAAGTAATGAAGTAGGGTAGGGAGGAGCCCTGGACTGCCACATCCTGGGGAGGAGCTGGGTTTCCCAGGGTGATTTCACATTATCCTAAGCCTCCAAAACACCTACCATTCATCATCTCTCTACAGAAGAGATGCCTCAGGAGACAATCCACTTCCAGAAATTCTGAGAATTTCCTTGGGGCTTTCCAGATCTTCAAGAACACTCAAGGAAACTTGATTTTAGGGCAATCAAGTTCCTTCCTTCTGTCTTTCCTTCTTTCCTTCCTGCTTGCCTGCCTTTTCCAGATCTATGAGAGATGCTGGAGGTGGGGCTTTCCTGGTTAGAAGATGTCTAGGCTATATGTTCATTCTAGAAAAACCTGAAAATCCAGATCAGCAAAAGAGAAAAACCATAACTACTTATCTTCTGTAAGTGCATCTTCAGAAAACCAATGATAAGGCTGTTCCCTCTGCACATTTCTATTTGTAATCATAGGTAGATTTTTTTTTACTAAATCATAGAATCTATACTCTTCTCAAACTACTTTTTTCATGTAGCAAAACAGCAGGATATCTTTCCATATAAAATATGAATATTGACATCATGATTTTGAATAGCTACATGGTATCCCACTGATGCAACATCATTTATTTATATCAATCCATTATTCTTGGTGTTTTTTGTTTGTTTGTTTGTTTGTTTTGAGAGGTTTTCACTATAGGGTGCGTGCGCTCACCAGACAGACAGAGACATAGAGACAGAAAGCGAGAAATCACCCCCCGGGGGGGGTGGTCACACCACAATCCCTTCTCCTCCATTCTCCTCTCGGGATCTTGGGCACACACACACACATGCCTGGCGTGACTTTTAAGCCACTGGGTCCGGGACATGAACCGCGGTCGACTTTGTGGGAGTCCAGCGACATAGCCATTACGCTAACTGCTGGTCCCTATTCTTGGTGTTTTATATTGCCTTTATTTTACTGGAAACCATGTTGGGTCAAACATCTTTTTTTCTAATTTTCTTATTTACATTTAATTGTCATAAATATTTATGACATATAGTAAGGTTTTTCAAAGTATGCATGCAGTGTGTGATATCAAATCAGGGATATTACCAATCTCTCATTTTCAACAAAGAACCTTACATTCTTGTGTCTTAAATGTTTTGCTGAGACCCTCCCACCTAATCCTCTACAATCCTCTCCTCTCCATACAGTCTCTGGTTCTACTATTATGCCTTCAGATCATTCCATTTCTGCCATAAGGTGCAAACATTTTATATATATTAAGTGGGAACATACTGTATTTGTCTTTCATAGACTGGCTTTTTTCACTTAACATTAAATTTTCTAGATTCATCCACTTTGTATCAAATGACAGAGTCTCACAGTTCTTTATAGGTGAGTAATGTTTCATTGTGTATATGTGCACTTTTTAAAAATCTAGTCATCAGTTATTAGGCACTTAGGGAATAATGCTGCAATAAACATGTATGTGCAAGTATCTTTCCAACGGAGTGTTTTCCTGTCCTTTGGGTAAAGAGCAATTTGTAAATTTTTTAGGGACCTCCTGTCGTTTTCCACAGTGGTTATACTAATTTAAATTCCCACCAACAGTGTAGGAGGGTTCCGCTTTCACCACAGCCTTGCCAGCACTTAATATTGTTAGTATTTTTGGTTATAGCAAAATTTGAAATCTTTGAGCACCCACATGATGTAACAAGCAAAAAATTTCAATTTGTCCTCATGTGACAGATTGCAGTCAAAATGCTGCAATGAAAATTTTTGTATAAAATTACCTTCAGGCTATATGTAGAAGACACCCATGAAATATAAATAAGGCTGAGGCATAGCAGAGATGTACTGCTCAAGAAAACCCAGATCCCACATGGCAGCCGTAATTCAAATCTCTGGCCTGGTCATCCTGAAACACATTAGGCATGCATAAGTGCCCAAGATCTGACAGCCTACAGGACCAGAGGAAAGGGTTCCTGGTATGACTACACCTTGTGGAGCGTTCTCATCTTTCTCTATCGCTCCCTGCCTCTGATTTCCTCTCTTGCTTGCATGTTCTCATGCTGTATCCTGAATAAAGGGGAAAAAAACCCTAAATGAAATTGGTCTCATCTTCAAGAGATCCTATTATGTATATGTAAATATTCCAAAGTCTGAAAATATCCAAAATACAAAATACACAGGACCGAGGGATACGGAGGTAGAGCATTGACGGGATAGGGAGGTGTGGTGTTATTGGTTGAAGATATTTTGATCAACTGGACTGTTGATCAAATGTTCAGAAATGTTCACATATTGAATTATTCACTTTGTAAGCTAAATAATGTGATTGAATGTATATAAAAATTTTTTAAATAAATTAAAAAAAATACACCAGGAGCCAATAATGTCAGATACTCAATTTGTAGTAAGTCTTTGACACTTACTCACTATGTGTTTGGGTGAGAGCTTTTGAAAATTAAACTTTGGCACTACCTAACAATGTTATAATTCACACATCAATGTGTGATGGTTTTACATTATAATTACAGATTCTTGAATACTCCATCCTTTACAAGGTGGAGATCGAGCCCCTTCCCTGAGTGTGTACGGGAAATAGTGACTTATTTCTCAAGAATATGCTACATAGTGAAGTGATAGTGTGTCACTGCTGAGGTTAATCCATAAAATGCATTGCACTTCCCTCCTTGCCCTTTTTTCTATCACTCACAGATGGAAGACAGGTGCCATGGGATAGTGACTCTCAAGCAGAGAACCCCAAGTGGTGAGAAGCTGGGGCTTCTCTCCAACAGCCTGTGGGTGGACCGTACTAGAAGCAGATCCTCTGGAACCAGTTAAGCCTTCAGATGTCTGCAACCCCAACTGACATCTTACTTGCAACCTAATGAAAAACTTGAAGCCAGAATCGCCAGCAAAACACAAAACAAAACAAAACAAAAAACAGTTTTCTAATACCTAATTTTCAGAATCTTTGTGAAATAAATGTTCTAGGTTTTAAACTACTAGTTTTGGGGATAGTATGTTACCAAGCAATGGGTAACTAATACACCTTGCCATCATTGTTGGAAGTTTCATTATCATTGGCAATTTCTACTGCTTTTTATTTCATCATTATTCTCCATTGTCTTCGGTGGGTATCCTTGTTTCAGAGGAAGCATCTCAAATTTTTATAAATTTTTTGTCACCTAAGAAATCTCACAGGCTTCCAAAGGATAACATTCTCCATGGTGACTCATTACCATCTTTGTGAGAATTGCTGTACCCCTAGAATTAAATAGTGGCTCCTGCTCTTGATGTAGTAATGAGGAATTAACAGTACTAGTCTACTCACCTGTATGAGTGAGTAAGCACAGTTTATTACAGTTAGTAAGTTCTTTTTTTTTTTTTGAGAGGTTTTTTGCTATAGGGTGTGTGCACTTGCCTGAAAGACAGAGAGAGACAGAGAGACAGAAACCGAGAAATCACCCCCCAGGGGCGATGGCCATGCCACAATCCCTTCTCCTCCATTGTCCTCTTGGGATCTTGGGAGTTTAAGCCATCAGGTCTGGGACTTGAACTGCAGTCGATTACATGGGAGTCCAGTGACATAGCCATTATGCCAACTGCTGATCCTGCAAGTAAGTTCTTTTTAGGGAAATGAAGTTAATAATAATTAAAATAATAAATATTTATTTGGTGCTCATTATGGAATTATTTTTTGTGGTTTGCCTGGAATTTTTCATTTTATGCTCGTACATTCCCTATGTGGTAACTACTCCTCTTATATCTATCTTACAGATGTGGAAATCTGGCAAGCAAAACTAACTACATTCCCTAAGTCAAATCATGTCACTCCTCTTGTTCCCATTTCTCTGGGAGTAAAAGGCAAGTCCTTGCTGTCCCTCCAAGGCCCTACACAATTGGACTCCCATTAATTTTTGACCTTATTCTTTCACTGCCCCATTTAGGACATTCAAGCTACATGAACTTCTTGCTTTTCTTTGAACAAGAGAAATGTCCTAACTTAAGGCCTTTGCACTGGTGTCCTTTCTACAGAATAGAAAGCCACAGCACAATATCATATGGCTCATTCTTTTACCTCCACTAGGTCTTTGCTGCGGTAGCACCTGCTTAGTTTGGCCTACATTTGTCATTCTGTGCTCTCCTCTCCTGCTTTCTCATTCATCTTACCATGCTCATGATATGGTCATGGAACTTAATGCTTTTTAGCATACTATGTAATCCATCCATGCATTATATTTATATTACATGTAAATAAATATATTTATATTATATGTGGATCCCCTCCCAATGCTGTTGGCAGATAAGCTCACACAAACAGCTGTGTTTCCTGTCTGTTTTACTGATTGGTATAGCCAAAGCACTTGGGTAGTGCCTGGTAGACAGAAAATTTTCTTTTTTTAAATCTTATTTTGTTTCAAGTTCTTATATACAGTCAATCACATCTTTTAGTTTTCACAAAGTGAATATTCCAACATGTTTACATTTCTCCCCAGTCCAGCTGATAATACTATAAAGTTATCTTCAACAGATAATACCCCACTTCTTTGTCCCATTAATGCTTTGTCTCTCTATTTTTCTCGCAATGAATCAATGGTATATCAACATCAAATGAACAGTATATTAAACTACATTTAGTAGGTGAGAAAATAGTCTCACATTTTGTTTATGGTTATTATTTTATTTCTCAGAGAGTTTTAATCCTTCTAGGTCTTCTTTTTCTTGTTGTAGTAGT